TTTTTTAGAAACTCCTTATGGACAGCTTCCTGTTCTTGAAGTCGATGGTAAACCAGTAGCCCAGAGTCTGGCTATTGCCAGATTTTTAGCGAAAAAATTCAATCTAGTTGGACAAAATGAATGGGAAGCCCTAAAATGCGATGAATTGGTGGATACACTTGGAGATCTTGGACAAAGTAATAACTGAATTTCTATTATTAATCATACAGGGTGTCCCAATTTTCCGTGGACATAGAAGTACTACATAGAACTACTTTTGCTATGTGTTTTAACATTTTTTGACGCTCACAAAATAAATTAAAAGAGTACGAGAATATCGCTACCTACTATAATTAACTTATTTTGATTCTAATAATATACCGGGTGCGTCTCAAAAATTGCTCACCCGTATAACTTTTTATTTTTTCAGATAAAAAAAAACATATTTGGTATGTCAGTATATGACATAAATTAGGATTGATTGACGTATTCAATTGTTTTCAGTCACTTCCTGTTTCACCGGAAATGACTACAACTTTTGATTTTTAAATAGCACCCTCGGTATTTTTTTACTTTATTCGGTAGAAAATGACACTCTGAATAAAATGACATATCGTATGTCAACTTTCGACATTTTTGCACATGCGGTTTATTTGAAATTGTGATATCCGGTTCATAACGGCAATTTGACTCAAAATACCAAGTGTGTGGTACCAAATTATTCGTAAAAAATGCTTTTTCCGAATATGCTAATGAACCATCCTCGTTCCATTTGAAAAAATTGAAATATGATTAAAAATACGATTTGGGCATCGTTTAACCGGCCAGGATAAGACTAAAACTTTAGACGATCAAATATATTTTTCTAAGGCTCCTGGATTATAAAATAGTGTTTTAACACAGCCATGGCACTCTAGATTGAAATTTAAAATACAATTTTTTTTCAAGAGAATGTCAAAAGCTGACATATGATATGCCATTCTATTCAGAGTCAATATCTATCAAATAAAGTAAAAAAGTACCAAGGGTGCTATTTAAAAATCAAAAGTTGTTGTCATTTCCGGTGAAACACGAAGTGACCGAAAACAATTGAATACGTCAATCAAACCCAATTTTTGTCTTATGTCATATACTAACATACCACATCTCGTTTTTATGTGAAAAAATAAAAAAGTTATAAGGGTGAGCCACTTTTCAGATGCACCCGATATAGTATCTAGTTCTATGTCTACGGATTATTAGAACAGTCTGTATACACGGTGTCCCAGGCTGAGCGTGCATTAGAAGTTTCTAGAGAACTACAATATCTAGATCGGAGATTTTTCGCACATCATTGTTTTACAACGAGATCTATCGATTAAAAATATTTTCAATATGGCGGCACTTCCGGAAATACCGGAAATTGACAGCAACTTTCTTATTTTAAATGGGTGCCCCCATTTTTTATTACATACTTAAATTCTCTGTAAAATTCTATGAATATTGATGTCAAACACTCTATATCTAACATTAACCGTTTTTGAGAAAAAAAATTATTTATAATTTTTGGACGAAAAACACTACCTGCCGAAAAAATTTGTATAGCCTAAGAGTTAAATTTAGTCATTACCACAGACACTGTGACATAAAGAGAAGATATGTGGCTATCTATTTAAAAAATTAAATTGTTCAAATGTCATATAATAATAGCGGTAGCTGCCATGGAAATGAGTGATTAAAAAATTATCATAAATCATTTTTTTCAAATATAAACCCACTTTTTTATTTCACTAATGAAACGGTTTTTCAATTCGTTACTTTTTAGCTATATATGTTCCTATACCTAAAATAAATCATTTTTAAGTTATTTAAGATTGAGTTTGAAAACCTATATTTTTCTTGATTTTATCTAGCTTCCTTTGACATTAAGTGTCAAACGATCAGACAATTTATTTCCATCTGTCAGAAAACGAATTATTTGAATTTCCTATAGTATAAATACTGTCTGCCCCCTTAAGCGTTTAAAAAGTGTATTTATAAATGAAGGGTCGGCCGTAACAACGTTGTATGTAACATTTTGCTGAAATGTGATGTTTCCCTAAAACAACGTTTTATAAGCATATTTGAATGTATTGGCGCAACTGGAACCGAAAAATTTTGCCCGATGTCTGGCAATAGGGCGACCTTCAGTCAGTGCCAGCCTTGCATTCCCGATAATAACGTTGTACGTGCGTTTAAGCGCTTAGTAAGAGGGCGGTGCAACTTTCACCCGCGGATATTTCCCACTTAAATAGGGGAAAAAAGGAAACTAAATATAGAGAACTGGAAACAAAACGCGAGAAAACGTTCAAGAGATGCTGGAGAGCAATATTCTAATTTATCTAGTACTAAGATTTTATTTTGTAAAACCAGTTTTTTGAAAATAATGTTTGCGTTATGTAAGTTCTTTCTTTATAGTTATTAACGTAATAAGGCCGATAAACAACAAATAACGGCCGGGCTGAAGTTTGTGATCCGAGGCGATAGCCGAGGATCATAAGCAGCCAAGGCCGTTATTTGTTATCGGCCGTGTTGCGTTCTAGATTTTTCGTCATACTGCAGATTTTTTAGAGCAATAAACACTACTATTTAATAACAAATTTTATTGAACAATAACACAAGTAAGGATAAAAAATACATAATGTCTTATACTAAAATTCATTTTTCATGATAATGAACATGGAAATTAAAAAGTGCACTTGTTGTTCTTAGAAATCTGTAATCCTTCCCAGGGATTTACAGATTTTATAGAAGAAGATGATGCTACTGAAGAATGGCAAATATTTGTATCCACTAAAGACACATTATTTTGGAGCTATCATGAAAAAGTTGATTTGTTATTTTCATTCTTTTGGAAACTGATTTTTCTATGTAAGTTTCTGCCACTGTTGAAGACTCCCATCCTCCTAGCTCCTTTAGCGATAGTAAATCACCACCATTTTCGGCGAGCATGGTTGCTGATAATCTACGAAATGAATGCCCTGTATAACGTTCTGGATTCTCCAAGTTCAAAAATTTTGCAATTTTCTGCGGTACGCTCCCGATGGTATGTATACCGACGATTTGCTTAACACACTTGCCTTTCTTGTAACCAATGAAAAATTTTGGATTGTCAAAGTTACGAGGACGCAGGTTGATGTATTTTTGTATAAACCATAGGCATCAAACGGAAGGCCCGTTTTTGGAATAAGAAATTTCCTATCTTTCTTATTTTTAGTATTTCTTAATGAGACAAGAATATTTTTCTCGAATCTTCGAAATCATCAACTGTGAGTGACCAAAGCTCGCTGCGCCTACAAGCTCCAAGAATACCAAGCACCAATACAATTTTTTCGAGTAACCAGGTGTAATCATCGGCATCCAGTAGAAAATTATTTATGTCATTCTCCGACAGAACTTTGGCTTTTTGGTGAATAACCTTCGTTTTTGCGCCTCAGAAACATGAACAGTTTACCAAATCTATGAACAAATATAATTTAGATGAGTATGATTAAATATCGAAGAATATAATGGCTTTTTACCTTGATATGTCGATGTTTTCATATACTCTCAACGCAAGCTTCAGCATGGATATCTTTGTCCACAGTGATGTAGGAGAATACATTTCAGACATTCTTTTAGCATAAGCCAGCAATACCGCTTCATTTACGCTGTTTATACTTCTATCCTGCCGCCACTTCAAAAAATTGTCATATTCCTGCTGATATCTCTCTCTGGTTATAGTCGGAAGTATAATTTTGAGTAGCCGCAGCCGCTTCCTCCTGTATTTCCAACGGAATTTCTCGCGACATCTCGCTATGGTCTATTTTCCCAATTTTTGAAAAGTCCAACTGACAATAAATAGTCATTGTTGCAGGTGACAGACGTTACGATTACCTTAGAAACTTAACGGCCGCCGGCCGTTATGATAACGTCCGGCGGACGTTATATGCATCTTTTCCATTCTGATTTTGCTTATGTTATAATAATATAACAATATAGTATGACGAAAAAACCTTTATTAATAAAGTAAATTTATTAAAAAATCATTTGCTTTAATTTAATATACATTGTTTACGTGTAACATCGTTGTAAGTTACATGAACATACAACGTTGTTACATGCATTTTCCACAATAATGACCTCTATAGTTGGATATTTCGTAATAAGCATTTTTAAAAATTATAAATCAGTATAGTTATAGCAACTTTAGTAAACTATACTAAATACGAAGTTTTATCATCACCTAAATGACCTCTTATCGTTTTTCGTGATTTATTCCATTCACTCCTTTTGTTATATACAACGTTGTTACGGCCGACCCTTCAAATATATATCTCGTATTTTCGCTCTTTAGTGATATCAAATAGTTGATATTATTAATAATATTCCATATGATCGAAAAAAAAAACAGCGCAAAGTTGGCCCGAAAATGATGCTGCTTTTTCAACAAAGCGTCACAATATGACATGGCCAGATCTATTGAGATCTACCTCACTTGACGTTTAATGTCATAGGCTACTGGTTAAAATCAAGAAAAATATACGCTTTAAAACTAAATCTTAAATAACTCAAAATCGATTTATTTTAGGTATAGGAACATGTATAGTTGAAAAGTAACGAATTGAAAAGCCTTTTCACTAGTGAAATAAAAAAAGTGAGTTTCCATTTGAAAAAAATAATTTATGATACTTTTTTAATCTCAATTCTATGACAGCTGCGGTCATTATTATATGACATTCAAACAATTTAATTTTTGAAATAGATAGCCACATGTTTTTTCTTTATGGCACAGTGGCTGTGGTATTCACTAAATTTGACGTTTAGGCTATACACATATTTTTGACAGGCAGTTCTTTTCGTTCAAAAATGTTAAATATTTTTTTTCTCAAAAACGGTTAATGTTAGATATAGAGTATTTAATATCAAAATTTATAAAATTTTACATAGAATTTAAGTACATAATAAAAAATGGGGGCACCCATTTAAAATAAGAAATTTGCTGTCAACTTCCGCTATATCCGGAAGTGCCTCCATATTGAAAATATTTTTAATCGATAGATCTCGTTGTGAAACTATGATGTGCAAAAAATCTCCGAGCTAGATGTTGTAGTTCTGTAGAAACTTCTAATGCACGCTCAGCCTGGGACACCCTGTATACCATATAATCGAAAAAAAAACGGTATAAAGTATGCTTATAAATGCTGATCGACGACACACAAAAGGAACATAATAAATTAAAATTTTTTATTTAATATTTCAGAAGGTATGAGGTATTTCAGAGAAGCCGATCCCGAAAAGAAAGAAACACTGAAGAAACAGCTTTTTGAAGAAGATGTGCCTTATTATTTAAGTAAATTTGAGGCTGTAGTGTCTAAAAACGGAGGATACACAGTTGGATCACAGGTATACACTATGATACCACAGATGATACATTGAGTGACACGAAAAATGGACACCTTAAAATTTTTATGAATTTTAATGTTCAATATATTTTGATTTGCTGGTCCGATTTTGGTGATTTTTTTAAGCGATTTGTAGCTAAATAATTTAACTTTTTTTACTCTTTTTTAAATTAAAAAATAAAGTTTTCATCTGTATATTATACTAGTGAAAACAAAATGTTGATATTTTGTCGGAAGTTTGAAAAACCCTGTGGATTTGTTTAACAAAGCAAGGGATTTAAAAACCACTTTATCATTAAGGTACATCTCTTCTCTACCGGGTACGTCTCAAAAGTGGCTCACCCCCTATAACTTTTTTATTTTATCAGATAAAAAACTAGATTTGGTATGTTAGTATATGACATAAATTAGGATTGATTGAAAAAAAAATTACTCAATTTGGTAAACTATTGCATAGGGTGTTTGAAACTTTCCCAAAATTAGCAATATACAGTTTTTGACATTTTCTATGACTATTTTAGCTTACATGGTCTGATTTTCAATTTGCCGGAACTCTGGAAGAATTCGAAAAAAGGCATCCTGGTCTGTTGAAGCCGTACCCTGCTTTAAGTGGTCTTGTTGAGAAGATTTGTAACCTGCCAAGTATTAAAGCATACAGGGAGAAGTCAGCACAAAAGAAGTAGATTTTGTAAAAATTATTTATTTGTCGCTTTTTATACTGCACTCTCCTGTATCAAGTCTGTAATTTTTTAATTTAAAATAAAATATAAAATTTGTAATTTAGCATGTGTTTGGGGAATTCACCACAGATTAAATTGATTATTCAAAAATTCCTATAAAATTTTTCAAAGTAAAATAACTCCGTTATTTTGGACTTATTTCAAAAATGGTATAGAGAAAATATGTTTTTTTATCGATATCTACCAGCTAAGACTCACCCTGTATAATATAACAATAATATTAACAATATAAACATACATTACAACCTTTGTTAAGGCTAACTGGGAGAAATTATCATTGATTGTCATTCTCAACCGTCTTAGACGCCCCTTTTTTCGATCATACGGTATGTCGTTTTAAAAGAACAGAAAATATAACAGTTTTGATTTTATTATTATTTATTTAACAAATGTTTTTCAACGGTACTTCCCTAACAACAACTAGAAAAGATGGAGTTCCAGCTCTAATAACATACCTAAAAAATAAAATCAAATTTACATATATTTTCATCAAATAATTCAATAAATTTACTCACTTCTTATCTTGCAATATTTCTTTTAGACTTTTACTAACATCAACTCTTACTAAATCTTGTTTTTCAGTCTCGAAATACACGTTTAAATTATCAACTTTATATTCTTGCTTTACATCCCACTCTGGATACATATTAAAAACTACCTCAAGTTGCTCATAGAAACTAAAAAATATTATTAAAAATAATTTTGAAATTTTTAAAATAAAATTAAGACAAAAAGTACCAAACATTTTCTGGAAATTGTTGTATATAATCCATAATCTTATACTCTGGATAAACTAGTACTACAGGCCAAATCAAAACATTCTCCTGGTCATCTAAATATACTCTTGAATTACTAGTTCCGGAAAACATGGTTCTAAATGACTCAGATTTAAATTTCCTAAAAAAATCTATTGTTAAGTATTTTTCTAGATATCAGAATATCAAGATATTGGACGAATACACGTCGCGATGTTGCCACGACTACTTTTTTTTACTTTAACACATTCTAATTAAATGAAGTTATTAGCAAGTTTTCTGAACGAAGGCTGAAAAATGTAAAGTTCTAATTGGTTAACATTACTCTTTACTTTTTGTAACTTCAAAATTTAAGACTTTAATAAAAAAAAAAGAAAAAACTTTATTGTGTTGGTAAAATGTTAATTGCAGTTATCTACTTATTACATCCCCTTGTATTGACGCCAATTTTTATTGATTTCTCTATAATTAAAAGTTATTTATTCTCACCCTTTCTCTCAATATTGTATCCCCTCTTCAAAATCTCTTCAATTAAGGTATTTTCAATTTGTTTTTTCTTTTTATCTTCTAAATATTTTTTCCTCGTATTTCTGTCTTTTAATTTTGCATCGTTAACACATTTTTTTCTTAATTCCAAGATATCTTTATCGGTTTTATTTTTTTCCAAAATTAAATCACAGAATTCGACAGCTTTGTCATATTGCCCCAAGTGGTATGAACAATGAGCAGCCCTATTCGAAACTTTATCATAATCAGGCTTAAGTTTTAAGGCTAACTCACAGTCATGTAGGCAAGACCTAGAATAGATTAATACAGAGTACAGGGTGTCCAATTTTTGTGTGTTTTATAGGGTTTCTTGTTTATGAGTAACAAAGATGCGGATAAAAAATGCTTCAAACAGATTTGTCCTAGCTCTCTTAGTTCCCAAAACACAGGGCGAATTTGAAATTGTTGTAAAGTTATATTTTTAAATGGGATACCCTGTATATTATATTTGTATTTTATTTGGTTATTATGAACTCTCTAAAAATATAATATACTCTATTTATTTTATAAATAAGGTGAAATGCATTATTTAACTTTTTAACATAGGCGGCCGATTTATATTAGGTAATCAAAACAATAGAACAATTTATTCAACGTCAAACTTTAGTTATTGGCTATTCCACGCTAGTTTCTGTGTGTACAATTATTGCACAAGTGCAGCAGCATCTTTAGATTCATAAACAAGTATATAGCATGGTACAAAGAAAACAAGGTATGATCGATAGTAGTGATGGGGTACTCGAGTATAAGAATCGAATACTTACTCGATTCTTCAAAGTACTCGTTGAACTCGAGTACTCGCGATCCGGTACTCGAATACCAACGAGTATTAAAAATTTAAAGTAAATATGACACGCGTTACTACTTTCGTGTCCGAGTCTGAAATTTTCGGTCACCAGTGAATTCGAAACTCGATTTTTGCGATTACGAGTTCACGCCTTTAGCTTTTCAAATGTCAACCTCAATGATTTGACCAAATATATTATGAGGATTTGACATAACTTTAGTGGTTATGTCCTAATTCTTCCCTATTTTATGTATTTTTTTATTAGTTGCAATCACGGGTGGCAATTGAACAATATGGATTTTTTATATGGCTTAGTGACGTCACAGATGATATGCGCAAACTGAATGAAATTGGAGCCGCTATCGATCATACCTTGTTTTGTACCTTGTTGTATCATGATTAATAACGATCAGTATATCTCTTTTCTATGAATAACGATCAGGCAAGCACTGCAATCTGGCTTGACGTTAGTTTTGAATTCGAGTATTCGGTACTCGGAAAAGTATTCGATCCTTGATAGTTCTCGAATACACAGTACTCGATTCTCAAAAAAGACGATTCTGCCCAACACTAATCGATAGCGGCTCCAATTTCGTTAAGTTTGCGCCATGGTACAAAGAAAACAAGGTATGATCGATAGCGGTTCCAATTTCGTTAAGTTTGCGCATACCACCTGTGACGTCATACGCCATACAAAAAAATATCCATATTGTTCAATTGCCACTAATAAAAAAAGACCTAAAATAGGGAAGAATTAGGACATAACCCCAAAAGTTATGTCAAATCATTGAGCTTGACATTTGAAAAATTATTTTCACATTTTTTGTGTCATCTGTTTGACAATTTGAAATTGGCGCGCGGAGCTTGCCGACCAATGGTGCCGTTTATCACCTGTGACGTAATGACCAACCTGCGCAATATCATACCTTGTATTCTTTGTATCATGAGTTTGCGCATACCACCTGTGAGGTCATACGCCATACAAAAAAATATCCATATTGTTCAATTGCCACTAATAAAAAAAGAACTAAAATAGGGAAGAATTAGGATGTAACCCCAAAAGTTATGTTTTGACATCGAGCTTGACACTTGAAAAATTATTTTCACATTTTGACACAATCAAATTTCACAGATGACACAATCTGTTTGACAATTTGAAATTGGCGCGCAGAGCTTGCCGACCAATGGTGCCGTTTATCACCTGTGACGTAGTGACCAACCTGCGCAATATCATACCTTGTATTCTTTGTATCATGAGTATAATATAGTACAGTGATGACTTTACTCATAAATGAGACACCCTGTACAAAGTTACAAAAAAAACACAAACCTGTAATTTTTAAGGAACCAATGAGATGCCGCTCTATTATTATATAAACTAGCCTCAATATCTGCATCTCCGCATTTCTGTTTAATGCCTTCAGTGTAAGCTACAATTGCCAACCTATAGTTTTTATGTTTAAAGTTAAAATTTCCATCATCTTTATATGCTACAGCCAATTCTACAAAAAAACAGTAGGAAAATCACAATGTTACAAGGCATTTTACAGTATTTTACCATGAGGTTCGTTCTCATTAGGATCGTACTTCAGTTTTTGGAGTCCCTCGTACAATGGATGTAGGTCTTGACCGGGTTGAGGAGACTGTTTCATAAAAAAAGGGTGTTTCTCCATTTCCTAGATAAAATAGGTTCGTTATAAATACAAGGCTTCTAAAAATTTACAGTAATATAGGTACTTCTTCCCAGCGATCTTCGGGCCACCCATCTTCGTATTTTCGTTTGGGTAAATTATTTATGAATTCATCCAACTCTAGATCAAGTTTAGCAGCTAACTTTAACCTGTCTTCGTCCGTAAATGCAGTTTCTTTCTCCTTATTATTCATAATTTAAAAATATTTAAATCCCTGAAACATACCAAAATAAAAATATAACCTAAGAATCTACATAACCTCAAAACAGAGGTCAGATCAGAGATATAGGGGTAGAAAGAGCCATTACGAACTTGCGCAGAAATTATAAACATGATAAATCATCATGTTTGCGCTTAGGTTGATAGGGGGAGGTCAGAAAGTAATCGTGATTATAAATTATAAGTTTTTTGATGGCCATATTTAGTATTAAATGCGCACTCGTGGTAGTTCTTTCGTCCTACCTTCATATCTCTGGGTCAGATACCATCATCTGTCACTGTCATTTACTGCCGGAAAAAAACCGGAATATGTTTGTCAAATGTTTGTTGACATCTCGTTATCCTTTTCTAACACGTATGCATTATCGATTAAAAATTATGTCTAGTTTCGCCATACTTGTATTATTTTCTCTCTCTCATTTCTCATAAAATAAAAAGAGATAGATAAAAAATAAGACGCAGATTCTGACATTATGTCCAGACAAGAATGACAGATATCAAATTATTTTTTTCATTAAAGTTAATCTAAAAAAGCTATTATAATTTTTGTAGTATTTGACTGTATCAAAACATGTAATTTATTTATAAAAAAAACAATTATAAACAACAGTATGGCGGCAGCTTTCGAGAGCAGTAATCCCGAGAATTCTTGGATAGATTTTTGTGAGAGACATGCCATGGTCGCCGCTCAAGATTTTTCCAAAAGTTGCAACCAATACATCAACATGAGTTTACCAGAAAACGCTCGAAATCTAGTAAACCACAAAGATTTACTGAAAAAATTCGTAGATTGTTTCACTGAAGAGTTCGAAAAGACTTCACCAGACGTAGACTAGGAGGAGGAAACAAGTTTTGAACGGAGTGAAAACAAATACTACCCCTACAAATAACGAAGATAGTTTTGAAGTGGAAGAAGGCTCACCTAAAATGACCCACAAACCTTTTTTCAGAGGCTCAGCTTTAAGATGTTGAGAAAAAGTAAAGATATCTTTCACAAACATTCAGATGATGATTCTATCAGTCACAACAAAACTAAGTTGGCTAA